CCACAATAGACTGTCTGCAAGCTGAGGAAAAAGGAGAGCCAGTCCAAGTCCCAAATCTGAAGAACTTAGAATTTGACTTTCGAGGGCAGGGAGTATCCAGCACGGGAGAAAGATGTAGGCTGAGAGGCTAGGCCCATCTCTCCCTTTCACATTTTTCTGCCTGCTTTATATTTGCTGGCAGCTGATTAAACTGTGGCCAATGGATTTCGGGTGGATCTGCCTTCCTCGGTCCACTGACTCAAATGTTAATCTCTTTCGGCAACACCCACACAGACACACCCAAGATTAATACTTTGTATCCCTCAATCCAATCAAGTTGACACTCAGTATTCAATATCATACTCTCCTAGCTTTTCTAGTTCACATGTGGGTTCCCCTAACTTCCCTCTCTAAAGTGGGTCCTTCCCCCTGTTATTTACTATCTTCACTGTTTTCCTTTGCAGCACTTATTACAGGACATAATCATTTTATGTCTGTTGGCTTAAGTTTTGTCTGTCTCTTTGGCTGGAATGTAGCTCTGTGGAAGCAAGGACCCCTGACCTGTTTAGCTCACTGTTGCATCCCCAGCAGAGATCATAGTACAAATACACAATAGTTTATTAGCAAATATTTATTGAATGAATGAATGAATATATAAAGAGATTAGGCAGTCTACTGAACTTCACTATTTTGACTTAGACTGTTTTGGTTGCAAAAGCTCTCATATTCAAATGTCAAGGGTCTCCAACAAGTAAAACAGAGTTCTAAGAGACTGGCTATGAGGTTCACAACCTACCTTGGCTTCTTTTTTGTTTGTTTGGTTAAGACAGAGTCTTGCTCTGTTGCCCAGGCTGGAGTATAATGGTGCAATCTTGGCTCACTGCCATCTCCACCTCCTGGTTTCAAGTGATTCTCTTGCCTCAGCCTCCTGAGTAGCTGGGATTACAGGCATGTGCCACCACGCCTGGCTAACACCCGGCTAGCTTTTGTATTTTTAGTAGAGACATGGTCAGCCAGGCTGGTCGTGTTGGCCAGGCTGGTCTCGAACTCGAGGCCTCAAGTCATCCACTGGCCTCGGCCTCTCAAAGTTTTGGAATTATAGGCGTGAGTTACCGCACCTGGCCTCCACCTTGGCTTCCTTCTAACAAATGATACTGGGACAAGGGGAGAGGCAGGGTGTACATGGGAGGAGGATGCGTGATTTAATCCCTAAGTGTATGTTCTAATTATAAAAAAGTGATTTCATCAAAAACAAAGCATGAGAAACAGCCAGGAGGAGCTAAGAAGACATGCTGATGAAAGAACCATACTATGGTATTCTAGATGGGCTCCTGGAACAAAGGATATTAGGGGGAACTAAGGAAATCTGAATAAACTATGGACTTTAATTAATGTATTGATATCTCATTTCTTGTAAGAAATATACCATGCTAATGTAAGACAACAATAATAGAGGTCTTGTGCTTTAAGATGATTAATCTGCCAGTCATGTGTAGAATGGATGCAGGAATGGTGTATATGGGAACTCTCTGGGGGGAGTGTGTGTGTGTATGTGCGCGCACATACGCACGCGTGTGCAGAGAGAGAGTCTGGCTCTGTCACTCAAGCTGGAGTACAGTGGTACAATCATAGCTCACTGTGGCCTCAAACTCCTAGGCTCAAGCAATCTTCCTGCCTTATCCTCCAGATTAGCTAGGACTACAGGCACACACCACCACACCTGGCTATTTTTTAAATAAAACTTTTTGTAGAGATGGAGTCTTTCTATGTTGCCCACGCTTGTCTTGAACTTCTGGCCTCAAGTGATAAGTCTATGTTTTAAAAAAACAATGTTATCTACACTCTCATTTGACATGTTAAAGTCCTGTGGTTGGTAATAACAGCTATCAAATGCTAAATGCCACCAATGTGGCAGGTACTGTTACATATATTATCACATTTAATCCTTAGAACAACTCAAGAGGTAGGAAGCATTATCCCTATTTGGAGAATAGGGAAATTGAGGCTTACAGATTTCCAGGGACACAGCCATAGTCACATATCAAGTAAGTGACAAACCCAGGAGTTGAACTCAGGGTCTTACCTTCTCATTACCCCCAAAGAATGGTGGCACATGTTAGATTGTCTGATTTGATTTTTACAGCAGGAAAAATGGGTCCCTTAGCTACCACACCCTTCTGTGCTACTCATTTCTATCCTCCAGACCACAGCACCAGTTTGGGCCCTTGTTACTTCTCCTTTGCAAAACTTTGACAGCCTCTTACCCAGCCTCTCCATCTCCACTCTCTGCATTACAGTCCATTGTACACATGGCTGGCAGATTAATCATCTTAAAGCACAACATCCTTTATATTCCTCCCCTCCAGAAACCCCCTAATGCCTACTGAAAAAAATCCGAACTACTTCCTCTGACCCAAGTTTTCATATTTGACTTGGCCCTACACCAGTGTCCGGTGGCTCCACATCCTATTTCCCAACAAGTTCTCCATCTGGCTTCTATTTTAAATTCATTGAAAGTAGAATGGCATCATACTGAAAGTAAAAAATTGCCAAAACTGAGGGCAATTTATGCAACTGCTGAGATTCAGCCCAGATCCTCAGAGGAAATTGATATGTAATGAAAAAAGAGATACGCAATCCACCATCCCATCACAGAAGGCAGAATGAACTAACTGCTAAGCCAGAGGAAGAGAACAACAAGGGAGGGAAGGATTCATTACAACTGGAGGATCCTGGAAGGCTTCCTAAAAAGGGGTCATTTGAGCCTATGGGATGAGTAGATTTTGGCAAGGAGAGAAAGGAAATGGCACTCATGATTTCCTCACTCCCAGAAAGCCCCTGTCCCAGCTCTGAATGTCCCAACTGACACATTCTCCCAGGCCCTACTTATTCTCTGCACCTCCCTTGGTATACCCCACTTTTCACAATAATCACTCTTTCTACCTTGTATTATAGTTAATTGTGTACATGCCTTATTTCTCTAAGCCATAAGTCTTTGAGGAAATGGAATGTATTCATTTCATTTCTGCTTCCCCATCCACTCAGCATAGAACTGGCCCATCACCAGCCTCTAATATATGCCTGGAATGTATGGATAAGTGAGTGTGAATTGGGCCAGCTTTAAAAAGTGTTCAGATGCCTTCAGACATTTATTTAATACTATGAATTAAAACATCAACTCTGTGCGAGGCATTTGTGCTAAGTGTTGAGGATAAAAGTGCTACACATGGGCATGGACCTACCCTCAAGGAGTCGATCATATAAAGGCGTGGCAAACACTAAATAAATGAATAAATATTTGTTGAGTTGTAATTGTGACTATTTTTTAAGAAGGAAAAATAGAGAGCAACAATGACAGATGATACGTACCTAGATTCACAAGTTGCCAGGCACTGGCACTGGGCACTACCCATGTGTTAACTCATTTGGTCCTTACCACAGTCCTAAGAGGTATGACCTTTTTAAAGATGAGAAAACTGAGACACAGGAGAGTCAAAGAACTCCCCAAGACTCACAGCTAGTAATTAGTGTTGCTAGTATTATGGGAGAATTTCACAAAGCGACCTAATCTAGTCTGTCTACTTAGGGAAGGTAAGTGACATTGAGCTGAGGCCAGGAGGGTGAATAAAGGTGGGCCAGGCAAAGAGGCCACTGTGGGGAGTGTTTTGGGTGGGAAGGCCTGGAGGAGGCCAGGGGCTTAGCTAACTTGAAGAACTGAAAGGAAAGCAGTGAAGCTGGTGGTGAGGTAGGCAGAGGCCATGCTAAGAAATTTGTATTTTATGCTAAAAACAATGTACACTTTAAGTAGAAAAGATGATCTGACTGGAGCTTTGAAAAGCTCATCCTGGCAGCTGTAGAGGAGAATGGATGGGGACCCTGTCGCACATATTTCCTATATGTGGTTAGGAGACAGGATGGTGAGTTGAATTGGGTATTGGAAGTGCAGGTGGTGGGGTGTCAGATTTGCTATATTTAGGAGAGAGAAGTAAGAGAATTTGACACTTGGTTATGGCAGCTGTGAGAGATGGAGTGTTGAAGATGGACTCCAGGATTCCAACTTGGGTGGACGGGTGGCTGGTGGTACATTTAGTAAGATGGGGAAGACGGAGTTCAGATTTAAGGGGAAGATGAAGACTGAAGTCCTGGTCATTGAGTTTGAAGCCCTATGAGCCACCTCTTGGATGCGTGTTCAGCGGCCAGGCTGGGATGGAGAAGTACATGTGGGAGTTGAGGCTTATATCTGTGGACCCACAGAGAAGAGAGCCAAGCCCTGCCCCAAGGTGCCCTCGTGCTTGCAGGTCCTGCCTGCTTCAGATGTTGCTGGTGATAACCTACATGTCACATTTGACGGGGCTTCCAAACTAAGCCATCTGAGAAAGGTCTTATGATTCATGGCTTAGATCCTGTCTGTCCCTGAGTAAAAAAATCTGTGAGTCTTTGAAATCTTTTTGTCAGTTCCTCGAACTGTTGATGTACTGATTAATATGTAAAAACTGACATTGAAAAGAACACTTGACTTGTTTCTGAATCATAGAAACTTTGATTTTCTTGTGCACAAAACATTTTAGACTGTATGTTGTCACCCGAAGCCCGTGACTGTAACCTGTGTACCGCACCCTCCGATGAAAAAAAACCCAACTCCGACATGAGGGGTCCTCCTCCCTTTTCCTAAACTTTCTTCTAAAACCCTTCCAACGTGTAACACATTTTGAAACATGCCCAACTTTGCTGGTAAGTCTTCTTGGCTGGATCCTCACATTTAGCTTCCGATAAATCGAATTATTTCTACCTCAACAGCCTTAATTTCCGTGGACACTTGTCAGAGTATTTCCTCCTGTCTTTCTATCATCCACTTCCTGTGAGCTGTTCAGAAGCAGCTCTCTGCAGCCTCAACACCCAGCTACCTGCAGGCCGCCCCTCTGCTGGCTCCCAGAACAAGGCTCTGATTGGGATGGCAGAGGAAAGAGAAACGGGACCAGCAGCGCTACTCAGGCCTCAGACGGGTCATACTCCACACTCACCAGCGTTTCCACGCCACCATCTCACGCGGAGCTCCTGGAAGGGTCCAGCGCTCCCTCTGCAAGGGACCGTCTGTCTACACCGCTCGATTGGCCTTTTACGGCACTGACTCTTCTTTGAAGTTTTTACAGCTCCTTCTAACCCATTTCACTGTGTTGGAAATGTTAGGGGTGGGGCGTAAAGGGGGCCATCCCGTCCACAGAAAGAGTTGCTTGCAGAAATGATTTTAAAATTCCCGGGTGCCAGGACGTGAGGAGAATGCGGCCGGGAGGGACGGGAGAATTTTCAAAGGTGCCGCTCAGCGGGAAAATCCCTTTGTCGGAGAGCGGGCCCGAGGGGCGCTGGATGCAGCCGCGCCCACCCCGCCTCGCGTCACCGCGTCTCCGGAAGCTCCACGCCCCTGGGTACTCGGTTTCCCCGGATGGTTCCGGAAGAGCGCGGCGCGGCTGGCAGAGAGCGCAGGGCAGGCCCGGAGGCCTCTTCTGCAGCCGGGGCGACGCGTAGGCGCAGGGCCAGAGGGAAGCGCTTTGTCTCGCGCGTGGTTCCCGCGCCTGCGGGCGCGCGGGAGAGGCGCGAATCCGAGTGCCGCGCGCGCCCCGGGGACTTACACCGGCTGAGCGCGCGAGGTGGGACCGCAGGAACCGGAGCGCCCGGGTCCCCGCCCCGCCCCGCCGGCGGCGGAGGCAGCGAGCGCGAGAGCCCAGCGGGGTCGCTGGGAGCCGGAGGCACCGAGACACAAAGGCAGGCGGGATGCGAGAGCATCTGGGGAGCAGGTAAAGGGAAAGCGAAAGCCGCACGCCCGGCCAGTGACAGGGTGAAGGAGCCGCGCAGCTCTCCCGACGCCGGCAGTACCAAGTCCTGCCTGGCCGAGCCTGGCGCGCCGCAGCCATGGCCATCGCCCACCTGGCCACGGAGTACGTGTTCTCGGATTTCTTGCTGAAGGAGCCCACCGAGCCTAAGTTCAAGGGGCTGCGACTGGAGCTGGCCGTGGACAAGATGGTTACGTGCATTGCCGTGGGGCTGCCGCTGCTGCTCATCTCGCTGGCCTTCGCGCAGGAGATCTCGATTGGTAAGCCTCGCCCAGGACGGAGGGGAGTGGCCGCCCCGGTCTGGCCCGGTGAGCTGCGATTTTACGGCTCACAGGCCCGAGCCTGGGCACGCCCAGCTGTGATGGTAGTGAGCGTCAGGAAGGACAGTGGTCCCGGTTTTATGGTCCAAAGCGTTCTTTGCCCAGGTGTTTGTTTCATTGGTACCCTGGTCTACTCTGCTCGCATCCCTACTCCTCAGTTCTTTTGTTCCTTATGCCCCACTGATCGGATTGTGGCTTACAGTTTATGTTCCACCCTTAGAATGGGCACCTTGCCACCAGATTTGCCAAAAATAGCAGTGTCCCCGTTTTTCACCCCTGTCTCCTACGTACTTGTGCAACCGCTTAAAATTTTGCGCCAGAGAAGTTCCTGAGTGGCTACATGGAGAATGTGAAGACCGGTGCTCCATGAGAAGTGTGTTCTTTCACTATCTTACATATAATTGGTGTTTGCTGAGATCTTAGCTCTCTAGGGTTGTGCATGATGGGAAATATCTGCACTTGGCAGGCATTAGAGGGATCCTCCACTTGGACGGTCTTACGAATGTGAGATGAACAAGTCCCCTTCCTGTAAATTCTCATTTGAGCTTCATAACTGTTGTGTGAGATTGGAAAGTCTGGTGGTTTGGGCAGGATCATGTGGCTATGTGGCTTATCTTCCTCATCAGCTGTTCTGACTTTCCACACAGGAGAGAGTGTTTATGAACCAACAGGAAGGTAGTGCAGGAAGGTTAAATACAGTTCTGTGGCAGGGGGAAGAGAGAGGACCCATTGCGACTGGACTTTGGGAAAACTTTGTCAGAGGGTGGGTGGGATTTGGATAAGCAGGAGTAAGACCTTTGTTAAGGTTTTGAGATGGCAGAGAATGTTATATGTTCCTGGAAAGAGAGACACAGTGACCGTCCTAGCCAAAGCAGGAGGATAAGTCAGAGTTCCTGGAGTCCGAGAGTGAATATGGGCCTGGGTCAGCCTGGAACAGAAGAGTGTAGGCTGATGGTTTCAGAACTGTGAAGTTATTGTTTGAGCAGAGGACAGACTGGTTGAAAACAGCACTAAGTAAATACTAGCCTGATGGTGGCATTTAGGGTCTGGGAAGAAGGTGAGAGGATGGGGCCTGGAGGGCTGAGTGCCAGAGAGCAAGGCATCAGTTGAAGTCTTGTGCACAGCAGGTGTGAAGAGTGGAAGAAAACGGGTGGGTGATTGCTGTGAGATCAAGGAGTATATAAGCAGCACTTGAGTACCTAGTTTTTCATAGGCCATGAAGGGCAGTACTGGTTGAACGCGCTGTGGAGGTTGTATGTCTGGCTGATTGGAGTGTGGTGTTGGTGGGAATTGTGAAGTTGAGGGAAGAGTTGATTAGGAAAGAGTGATGGTGAGTGTGATTTTGCAGTCTGCAGCATTAAGTTGTTCAGTTTCGCAGGAAGTTGCCAAATTCATGGTGGAAAATAAGTTTTTCGTTTTCCTGCATTTGCATAGACATAGTCATCGGGATTTTCTTTAACTTTCCATTTGACAGTGAATTGAGGCTTCCAGCTGAAAGGAAACCACCAAGTAGCATGAGTCATGGAGATAATCTCTCCCTTCAGTCAATTCCTCCTTCAGTACTGGCTGTGTGCTGAACTCCGTGCTGACCTCCAAGCACCGGGGAGTAAAAGAGGCATGGTCCCTGTCTTGGAGGTGCACGTCTTGGGTACCTGGTTGGGACAGAAAGGCAGGAGGGAGGAGTTAGTCACCCTCTATGACTAATCTCCACCTCTAGCGTGTGTACTAGAGGCACTCTAAGGCACCTGCACCTGTAATGCCTTAGATACATCTAAATTGGTGGGCTGAGAGGTATTTTGGGGGTATTGGGAGTGGTTTTACCTAGCAAGAGTCTGAGGTCGTGCTGTGTGCATAGCACTGTGTGCTGAGGGAGGTGGGAAAGGATTTTGAGACCTTGTTCTTGCCCTGCCTTCTCCCTGCCCTGTGACAATTTACTATGCAGTTGGGCACTAGAACATATCTATTAGCAGGTAACACCATTCAGCTGTGTGTAAGTCAGCACCCAGACAGGTGTTGAGCTATGAGCTCCAGGCTGGTGAAGGTTGGCAGGCACTTGGGTGAGGAGCTATTGAGCAGACGCCCATGTTTTCTGAAGTGTTTTCAGGAGTTCCAGGGGAGGACAGACATGTAGGATGAAGCTAACAGGACCAGGGAAGACCTATTAGATCAGGTATACATTTAGATAAAACCAGAAGAAGGGCTTTTGAGAAGAGGGGAGAGGTACATAGACTAATACATGGAGTTGGTACAGTGAGAGGGATCATGTTATGCAGCATTTAATTTTGTGTAGTTAGTAGTATGCACTCAGCCGAAAGAGATGAGAACAACAATAAAGGGAGAGTGAAGTAATTGAAATGGAGCTGGCACTTTGCCCACCATATTGGTCAATGAACACAAGCCCCAGGAAGACGCTGAGATAAGGCCGGCAGACTTAAAACATGGCTTCATCCTCCCTCTGCTGATAATTACTCCTTCCCTCTTTGTTGCTTGGAATACTGTTTTGTTGAACTTAATACAGAGCTTTATAACCTGTCTATGCATGTTTTGCATGAAGATTGAAACTACTCTATAAACATTTGTTGAGTGAATGAAAGGTGATAGCTTTTGGCATCATCAGACGTTGTTGATTGATTCTGGTGTGCATGATGCTGTACCTTGGCAATGGGGTGTCAGACACACGTAGGACTTAAGAATCTTTTCTCTGGAAGCACAGTCTAGTGGAGAAGTTGAACGCATAACCCTCCTAATACAGGATTCATGAAACCTGGGCAGTGTCCGAAGTGTATACTAAAGCCTAATGCTGTGGGAAGGCAGAAGGAAGGGTTTTTTTCTGACTCAGGAACGGTAAGAGTTTCAGGGCAGAGTTGGCCCCTGAGTCAGGACTCCAAGTGTGTGGAGCAGTGTTGGCTGAAGCTGAGATGTGCGAGACAACCTGTGGCCACTGGAGCTTTAGCGGCATAGTCACATGGAGAGGTGGAAGCCAAAGTAAGGGTCCAGGGGCTCCACGTGAAAGAGGGCACAGCAAATCCCATTGTTTTCCTGTTTGTGTTGGGCTGTGTGTGTATATATATAAAATTAGAAACGAGAAAATCAACTGTAATTACATGTTTTTCCTTTTTCCACCTGTATGATAAACTGGTATATATAAGAATTCATCTCTTGTGATATAAAATCCCCTCAAGCGTAAAATAAATTATATTTTCCAGTGACTTCCCCAAAATTAAATTCTCTGTCAACTGGTGTTTGGTGAAATAGGATTCAAGTTGAAACTTTGTGGTGATTTTTCCTTTAAATAAATGATTTTTTACTTTAAAGGTAATCCATTAAATCAAAACTGTGCATGGATTGTGTTTTAGATTTAAGAGCAGGTCCTCTGCGGGGGTGGGAGTGTTGCAGGTTAGAGAGAGGGAATGTCCTCATGTGATAAAATACTTGGCTTCATATTAAAGGCTTCCCTTTAGTCTTTGGCCTGTTCTCTTAGTAGTTCAGCCCACTGGGCTCCTCTCAGAAAAGAGGGACAGAGACCCATGGGCATGGCAGCGAGCTGACCTTTATCAAGCCCTGCCGGGTGGCAGCATGGTAGCTGCAGGTGAAGCATCCACTCCTCGGAGGTTTTGGCCCCTCCCCTCCCACAGCAGTTCACACAGGTCCCACGTGATAGGCACTGGTGTGGGGCTGCCTGGGCTGGTGGGGACTGTGTTGGGGACAGAGAGCAGAAGGGACTCTGCCTTGCTCATTCACCAGATCTTGGTCTGTCTGCCCACAATCACAGGTTGAGGGTCACTGCAGAAGTAATGTGGTCTGGCGGGGGCATAGCAAGGTTGATGCCATGGTCAAGGTGGAGGGCAACTTCGGTAGTCTTTGCGGCAGCCTGTGGTCCGCAGCCACTCATTGGTCCAGATCTGCCCTGTGATAGTGAGAATTACAAGCAGAAACACTCCTGAGGGAGTGGCAAGGAGACTCTTCTGAGTTGTGCCTGGGAGCATTTTGAAGGCTTTTAGACAGTGAGATACTAAGGACTGAATGTAGGAACTAAAATGTGCACCTGTCTGGTTAGGCCTGATACTTCTACTCAGCCTTTCTAAAATACCGCAGGCCTGCTTCCCCTGAGATTCAGTTGGGTAGGGGGAAAATAAGTGACGCACAGCGAAAGACAGTTTAAATTTAATTGTGACTTTGGGCTAGAAAAGCTGTGTGGTGGGAGCCAGAGAAGGGAGAATCAGGGGTGTCACCAGCCCTCGTTTTTCCTTCCTCTTGCCTTCCATCACGTCTTGCCCTCAACAAGTGCTCCATAGAAATTTAGTGAAGAAAGTGCCAGAGCACACTAGGGAACTCCCCCAGAGTGGCTGTGCTGAGGGAATGGACGGGTTGTTCTGGATAAGGGTCCCAGTTGCCTGGAAGTGCGCCCTCTGAGTGCCATTTAATGATACAAGTGCTATCCTGGGTCAGGCCTGTCCTGGCCACCTCCCAGACACCTGCCTCTGATGATAGCAGTCAAGGATGCACGTCACCCTGATAGGTAAGTTGTCCCACTTGATTTATAAGCTCAGATTATATTGCATGTGCCTCAGATTCCTTTTTGTGTTATTTTTGTGATGAGGAAGAATCTGTGTTCAGAGTGCAGAATGGCTGTACTGTGGAAGAAGGATGAGCGTGATCTATGTGGCTTGGGTACCCTGAGGCTGTGCCTCGAGGCCCTTCATTTGTAACACATCTGCTGTCAGGTGCCTCTAGAGGTGCAGCACATTTCATTGAGGGGGAGAGGTTTAGGAAATGGCTGGGCAACACCTTGTGTAGAATATAAGCATGATTGCATGACGTGACCTTCAAGCCCTGAAATTCTAGAAGTATTTCTCTCAAGTTATGAATTCCGTTAGTGTGCTGCAGTTATGGACTGAATGTTTGTGTCTCCCAACCCCAAAATTCATATGTCAAAGCCCCGATCCCCAGTGTGATGCTAATTGGAGATCCCTTTGGGAG